TAGTTACTTACATATAGTGTTTATCTATTTTTTACTGGTTTTTATCTTTTTATGTTAGTGAAAAATGAGTATATGTGAATGTTACACAAATTATTTTAGATCTATAAAGAGTACCCATGATGGGGAAGCCTATGCTGTTTTAAGTAGTGTTCATGTTTGATCTGAAGGGCGAGGTTAGATCTTTTCAAGGAGGAACTTGAGTTTAAATAAAGTATTAAATAATGAAAAAGAATAGCACAGCCTTTAAAATTTTCTCTCTATTTCTGGACAAACTTCAAAATGAAATAAATGCTTGGTCTGGTTTCCAGGGCAAAGGGAAGTGCCTGTTCCTGGGCTCATTGGCCATCTGAAGGGATTTACTGTAGGCTTGCTTTGTGTAGCAGAGACACTGAGAAATGCAGTGCAACTTTCTTTCAGCTGCTCTGGTTTGCCCTGGAACATGGTCTGAAACCAGGCACAGAAAAGATCTTACCTTTGCTCCCCTGCATCCCGAGGGTGGTGTGCACATCAGCACTCTCCTTTCCTAGGCACAGCAATGAAAAAACAGCAGCCCCGTGCTTGTCTCACATAATTTCAATTTTTCTTTGTTTTCTCTGTATTTCTATCTCCCACTTCTTTTTCTCCACTTGGTTTGTTTCTTGTAACAGTCTCTTGCAAACTTTTTTTTCTGCTGGGCTTCCAGTTTCCCTTGCCAGGTTCATTAAAGTTGCCTGCCCGAATGCTGTGAGAAGACACAAAGCTCCCGGTGACCCTTTGAATATCTCAAGGCAGCAACTTGCACCCTCTCCCCCAGCCTCCAGACTGCCCTGGCCATGTCCATCGAACAGGGACTTACCTTGGCATGACCTTGGGAGCAAGAGGTCTCAGTGCAGTACTGGGCCCTTCACAGGACAGGGCTTCTGCTGAAGCACAGGGGGCTGTTCAAAGACGAAATAGTCGCTTTTATCTTGGATGCTATTGGGATAGCAGTTCTCAGCCAAGCACAGTGAGGTGTTTTGCCGTATGAAGTTAAGTATAGATTTCTAAAGATTAAATTGCAGCACACTGCTAGCAGAGAACTGGGCAAGCTGACACCAAGGCTCGCACCGGGAAGAAAATTTCAGAGGCTGTTGCATGTGTTTGAGACAGGCTGTTGGAGGCTTCTTGGGATGGTGGTGTGTCAATAGCTCAGCTTGAGCACAATCAGGAAATTGCATTTTGGCTCCCTCATGGAGTAACTTAACATAACAGCTCCCTGAGAGACAAACAAGCAGTCTTTTCTTTCTCTACCAATGGATGTGCTGGGGGGTTTCCCTCATTTTTTCCCCCTTCTCCTTATCACACTATTCCTATTTTCATTTCTTTAGTGACTGGCTGTCCTAAAGTGAAAGTGGAAGCCGGTGATATCGTAGAGAAGCGTCCGGAACAGTCCTTCTCTGAAGGGAAAACAGAGTCTCTAAAATGGGATGCAGACTGTGAGCTGCATAGATGCACTTAGCAGTGCGAGGTTAGAGGAGCTGTTGCACTGGACCTATGATACGACACTCCCAGGTTTCTTCCTCCTCACCCCTTTCCCCTTCTTCTTTCCCTTCCTCCTCTCCTTCATCTTCCCCTTTTCTTTCCTCATCCCCTTCCCCTTCCCTGGTAAGGACGATGCTGAACTAAGAGTGCATGTAAGCCATGGGTTTGGAGTTGGTCTAATTTCTGATGCTCGTACGTTGGGTAAGGGGGGGGATTGGCATTTTATATGTTCCTTTTTTTCCTTCGGTTGTCTCAATACCACCACCAAAAACCAGTTTAGCATGGTGGAAGTAAGTGGCTTATCTAAGTTTTGTTATATGGGTTGCTTTCTGCAGCTAATGGCAAAACAGCACAGAGTGCCACAACTCTTTTTTTCTTTTTTTTAACTTAAAAGTTTACAAATCTGAAACTCAACAAAAATGAAGTTAAAATCTTACAATAAAGTAGTATTGGAAGTGAGGTGACAAATCAGCTGAGCTTTGTTTCTTGCCATAACTTGCTGAGGTAGGAAAGTCTTTTTTGACTAATCAGTCAGTTCCAGCTTTTTTATTAACCCCCTTTAAGTGTGTTGGTCCTAACACCACCCATATCCAGAAAACAAATGGTATCCTTTATACCTGAGTAGTGAAATGAGTTGCATTTGAGGTGAGGTGTCTGTTCCAAACAGAGATGTTCAGAAGTTTAAAGCCAGACTTTTGCTAAAGGTGAGCCAGTATCCTCCTGTGGATTTTTGTGGGACTAGGATGGTTTACACCTAGTAAGATGAAGATCTGGTGCTTCATACGTACATATATGACTTATTTTACCCTCATGCTTAGAAAAAAGAAAGTTTTAGGGTGATTAACGGATGGATTGTAGCACAACAACGAGGAGTTTTCTGGAGTTTGAAGGAAGCAGCTAGTAACTTCAGACCTCTGCACAGTAAAGACAGGTGATCTGCAATCCAGCCTGGCAATCTCCCCGTCTCTGAGCCTTGCCTCTTAGCACCTGTGAAGAAATAGGTCCCTTCATACACCATTGCTGTGCCTGGAGACCCCTGCAGAATAAACCTGCGCTAGAAATCTGCCTCCTACAGAACAGCTGCCCTGTTGTGAATTAGGAGGGGTGGCTTGCTCTTATCCCAATGGCAGAAGTTAAAAATACACGAGGAGCAAGACACCCTGTTCCCACTGCCTCTCCTTTGGACTCAGGGCATGTGTGGTTCTGTTTAGCTCCCAAATGTGAGTCTCCATGCTTAAGATTTAAATGCCCTGTTGGATACGTATCAGCAATAGCGTTACATTCAAAGGGGTAAATAGCTGAATGGTAGTCCAGACAGGAAGAAATTTGTTTAAATTTTTTCTGTCAGGCTGAGGGCATAATGCGAGTGAATTTGGTAATTGTTTAAGAGAGGCCAGCGGGGACAGAAGCCTCCTGTTTCGGCTTGTCAGCAACACAGACCCCAGTGACAGGTTCTGGATATGTGAACAGTTTTGTCTGACTCCGCGTGGGTCATTGAACAGAGGCGTTGCAGGGAGCCTGCCGTCAGTGGTCAGGGCTGCCTGCTCAAACAACTGAAACCTCACCTCAGCTCTGCAGAAGACACCTCTTGGCGCTCTGGCTTCTGGGAGCGTGGGTGGCAAATGGGTCTAGTGCTAAGCAAAGATTTAAGTGTTATGCACTGTGGCTTGGTGAGCTACAATGCACAGAGAAACAGGAAGATGGCAAAATGCACATGCGTGCTGTGGGATTGATATGTTTATTTGGACAAGAACAAGTTGTACTAGATAAGTGCCACCACACCATCCATTGCATGCAGTCAAACAGGCAAGACCATTGACTTTGGTCCCCTAAAGTGAAAGGGCAGTTGAGAGCATTATGATAGGCAAATATCATTTTTCCTAATGTTTGGGCTAGTTCTTGTTTGCTTTCCTACCTAGAGTACTCAGGGCGTGAATTTGTCAGAACTTCCTCTGAAAACACGATTCTCAGGTGTTTAAATGTTTGCTCATTTGAGCCACAGCATAGGCTTTTCCTTTGCAGTGCTTTGATGAGTCATTTTTCTTTCCGTCCCAAGAATCAGTTATTATTGTTATGGCCTTTCCTCTTGCCATGCACTGCACCCCAACCATCGAATACTACTTGAATTTCCTCATCTTTCCTGTCTAAGCCACTAAATGCAGTTGAGGGCAATGTATCAGCTCTCTTGTTCCCGTTCTTTGATAGCCTTGTTTGCCACCTGAGGTATTTCTCAATGACCAAATTCTCTTTCTAGAAAACAGTGCTTCTCTGACTCCCAGGTACTGCAATATTCTTCACATCACTGGGGTTTATAAGGTATTTGGTGAAAGGTTCTGTTGAAATGTCAAGTAGTGGTTGGTATTCATGAAAAACAGCCTGTGCCCTAAGACATTAAAACTAAGAATATGTTCTTGCAGGAACCAAGATGTCTTCGCCGAATGATGTCAGTATGGAAGAAATACCTTTGGAAGATGATGAGCGGGACAGCATAGAATACAAGATCCTGATGGCCTATGCCCAGCGGCGGTTGTCTGTCAGTAAATATGGGAAACTTCTGAAAAATGAGGCTAATGTGCAGAAATCATCATCCTCAATCAGGAGAAAAGTAAAGACTGACCATCAAAGCAAAAAAGATGGACTAAGTCGAATGGTCGTTCCTCAGGGTGGTAGGGTGGAACAGCACAGCAAAAAGCAACGAAAACCAAAATATTTGCCACGATATTTTCTACCTTTTTTCTGTGGCAGAGCAGAGCAGGAAAAGCCCTCAGTGCAGTCATTGGATGAAGGTCTCGCAGCACATTCCTGCATTTTCGAGGCACAGTCTGACATAATTTTACAAGGGAAATCTCAGCCTCAGACAAGTATGTGTTAGTTCTTTCCTTTTGTTGTTTGTGTTTAAATGTCTCTCTAAATAGCTTAAATGGCTGGTGGCCTGTGGAAACCCAGGAGGAGGAAGGTGGTTTCTTTCACTTTTTGGTCACCTCTTGTGCCAGCTCTATCGGTTTCCAATTAGGAACGCAGACTGCCAGATCTTCAGTAGTGCTTGCACACACAAGATTCATGCTTGTGACTGGCTTTTCTGTTTTCCATTGCATGGTGGTAAGTATTGTATAATTACATAGGTTGTTTTTTTTTCTGAGCATTGGCTTTTTCATACTTGGTTAGAAAGAAAACAAAACACTGGTCAGACTGCAGACCTCCACACTAAAATCAAGGAAGAGAAGTTGTTTGAAGGCCTATTCAAGGTGCCTTATCATGCAATAAAGACAGAAGTGCTAGATTCTGCTTGAAACATTGGTACCAAGCAGTTGGCAGGGACCAGCCTCAAGCTCAGAGCAGCCCATATCTCTGGGCCACTTCTCATAACCCCATCCTGTATCTTAAATGGAAACAGTCTTCCAGAGTTATCTAAGTCTGCTTTACACGCTGCTGTTACGTTAAGTCTGAACCTGCCCTCCCATGTGTTGGGAGGAGAGGCAGTAGGTGGATGTAATCCATCCAACATCCAGGGATCCCATCCAAATAAGCATCTTGTACCAGCCCCCAAAGCCAGCCCCACACCAGGTGCTGCACTGCAGGCAATGAGATTTTACCTTTTCTGCTCTCAGTAATCACTAATACCTTAACTTCTCATACAAGACTGAGAGAGGAGGATGAGGTATCCCCACTAAGTTGCCGTATACAGATAGGTTGCCATATTGTTTTCATATACATAAGGTAGGGTGTTATTTGTTTAATTTGTCCCAGCTGGATACTGTTGGTGTCACAGCAATCGCTCTCCCCTTTCACTACATTTCAAGATATTTCTAAAAATTATCCATCGCTGACTTCGCCAGCCTAATGCCCCGTCCCTGATCAGTTTAACTGTCCTTGGCGCAGCTCCTACCCACCAAGCCCATAACGCTCCCTGCTGCTGAATCCAGCTCTGTCTCTCAAGAAAATGTCCCTGCCTCAGCCCAATGCCTTTTGCTAGGGGGAAATAACTATAACTTTCCATTGTTTGGTTGCCAGGGATATATGTTTGCATCCAGATTTCCATTTTTATGTCCATTTTATTTTCACATTGCCAAGGAAAGTGCTTCAGAGTTTGGGTGCAATCACTTGATGGCCCTGCCAATACATTGCCATGTTCCCTGCAGCATGGGTAGTAGCAGGGCCCTGAGGTAAAACCTCCTTGTGCTGGATGTTAACCTCCCTGAGGATCCTGCTTGGCTTCAAATCTGGGCTTTACCTGACCTTCAGCAGATTGCTGGACCAGTTCCTAAAACAACATCATCATCATCATCATCATCATGATTTATACTGCCAGCAGCTGCACTGCAAGTTTGGCCAGGCCATTCTGGAGCAAATGGGGGTGCTTTTGAGGATTACCCATCTAAATCGAAGGCCTGTTCAGTTTAAAACCAGTTGCCTAATCTTAGGTTTCCAAAGTTGTGAACAGCCTGACCCCCTTGCTAGAAGTTTAGCAGCTTAGCTCCCTGCAAGCTCTGCAGGTGGATGAGGGGATGGAAATGTCTTGGGGTTGATTCACCAGCCTTGAAATGCAGTTTTTATTGGCTGCGTTAACCCCTGCTGCCCTCACAATAAACTCTGTGCGTTTTATGCCTGTTATGGGTGAGGCTGCTGCTGAGCTTGTCTTGATGTCTGCTGGTCACACAGGAGCTGCCACATGACAGCAGTGGTGGGGAGAGCGAGTTTTACATCCCAAGCTCTGTGAGGCAAATTGTAAGGAAGAGTGCCTTTTAGGTGAAACACACCTTTCACTAGCTCCTCCTGCTCTCTTTGCTATAGCAGGATCCCCCGTGGTGTCCCCTCATCGAGTGATGCCTTCAGCTGGTGAGGGTCCTGAGCAGGGTCATTACACAATACACACATACACAATAAAGCCAGTTTGGTTTGTTAATAAAACAGTGTTGAGGACACGAGAAGCTTTTGTGCTAGAGGTGCCTCTGAAGTGAAGTCTGCTTCCCCTGTGCTCAGGATTAGCCTGTGAGAACAAGGAAAGACCATTCAAATACATCATCTTTTCTGAATCTGGACCTATAGATGAACTACTCACGGGCAATACAGCTAAGGTCTGAGATTCACAGTCCTATAAGGCAGTGTGTGCTTCTGGCTTGCAAGGATGTACACTAGTGAGCAACATTCACACATACTTCTGTATGGCCTCTGTGTAGCTAGCTGCTGCTCAGATGCTAGAGAGGGGTTGTACTGCTTTACTTGTTGCTCTAAGTTATTACCAGCTGATCTCAAGCAATAGCAAAGCCCCTATATGGGGAAATGTATCTCTTGGTATCCTCTGGGCACTTCCACCTCAGGGGGCATGTAAACAAGTAAATCACTGACTTAATTCCTGGAAAGATTAATTACCTTCTTTATTTCCCACCTCCTTCCCAAACAGGTGAAACAGCAGATGTCAACCACATTGCAGACAAACTTGTCCAACTTGTTACTTCCAGATCCCAGGAGTCTCCTTCAGATGTGTCATTCAAGTTAACGTATCAAAGCCTGTGTGGGGCACAAGGTGATAGTGATGTTGCCGATGGAAGTGGAGACAAGGAACATGGTAAGGGTGAAGAATTTCATGCTCACAGGCAGTACGTCAGGTTGGGATTGCACACTGAGGCATTTTCTCTAGACGTGGTGAAGGACCCGGGGCTTCTGCGGTCAGATGCTGTGAAGAAGGAAGTTTGCTTTGCTGGTTCTTGCTCTGTTGCCCACATTTCAGTGACTGCTCTTGCAGTCCTTTGACAAGTCCTGCCTGCTACCGCAATTGAAAGGAGTATCCTTAAAAATCCAAGGAGGTGTGACATGAGAAAAGGAGCATGAAGGCAGTGACCCAAGGTGACAGCAGTGGTAGGAGTGGTAGGGCTGGGAGCAGAGTAATATACCAGGGCTCTAAGGCCAAAGACCAGTCGTTGAAGCAATAATGTCTTGGTCAATCCCTCTTCAGTGACAGGACAACACTGCTCAACAATCACTGTTAAAAGTCCGAAATGCTTGTCTTCCATGATGTCTGCAGGGACTTAGTTTTAATGCAAACTTTCTAGGGATTTCTGGTTGCAGGAGGGACCCAGCCACACTTGGATTTTCTTTAATCCAGCAAACCCAGGGTTTGTCCTAATGAGTTGCAGAAGGTGTAATTGGTAATGATAAGGGGATTATTTTTTTTTTTTCCCTAATTTTAGGTTCATTTTCATGTGCTTCCACTAGCTGCTCTTTTGTTCTGGCTTGTTATCAGACATACCTCAAAGCCCAAAGGGCTGGCAGTGGGACGTTAAAGCTCCTGTTCTTTCACAGATTCTTAACTGGAGCAAAACATCAGGCAGATGGAGAAATAGCATTGCTTACTCCACACAGACTAGAACAGTGAGCTTCAGCTTAAAGCCTGGACACACAGCTCACCGTGCATTTGCCCCAACTAACAGCTGTTTACACGATCAAGTGACACAAAGGATTTTGCCATAGTTTGCTATCTGGATCCAACCAGAAGGCTGTGATATTTATGTTACTCTTTTCTTTAACAGATGAAGAAGAGATAATACAAACAATAGTTTCACTGTTAAGAGAATCAGGGGACCAACTAGAAAAAAAGGTAACTCCTGTTTTCAGGACCTACACAGGCTGGAGTGTGAAAGAGAGATTACACTTCTCTTGGGAGTGAATGTTTTGTAACTTGGTGTGCTCTGTCTCTATCCTGAGCTTCCCTTTCTGCATCTAGGGCTTTCTGAAACCTTCACCATTCATCTGGAAATCTTTCTTAAGACCGGAGGACTAGCAGAAATCACTGTTGGGATGGGGGAGGAAGGCAATAAAAAGGTTGTGTGTTTCAAAGAGGTGTCACTCATATTATTCCCGTTGAGTTTCGTGGGATGGTGAGCACTTGACTGAGTCTGAGTAGCTCTTGTGTTTGCATTGAGTTTGACATACAAGCGTTCCCAGCAGAGGGAGGGAAACTCTACAGCTGTGAGAGCTGCTGTAAGGATAGGGAAATAAATCTTCTGAGTGGATTTTGGCAGCCCTGCCCAAAAGCTATGGAAGAACCCCCAGCATGAGGCCTTTAGTTGGAGTGGGTGTTTTCTCTTTTAAAGATATAGGTACTTGTTCCCTTTACACCCTTCTTTAGCTGCCCCTTCTGCTGCATAAAGGTATACTCCCACATGGAGGACATGCTCAACTCCTGCAGCAGAGAGGTACCCAGATACAACAAGAAGTATCACGAAGACCATGACTGAGCAAATGGAGCTTAGCATGGCAGCTGTTGCCATGCTTCTTACAACCTTGGCCTTTCGTGTCATCCTCGCACTCCTCCTGTATTCCCATGGCTCCTCACCTGCGGGTCTCAATATCAGTGTCACATTTGCTTTGCTTTCTCTCTCTCTCTCTCTCTGCTTCTCTCATTCAAATGCAAAAAACATAGAGCCACCTCCAGAGCCTGAAGGAACAACTTTGCAGCAAGGTGTGGGGTTTGTGTGTCATCTCTTGCATTCAACACCATGACTAGACTGTATTGCATGTAGTACCTAGAGATGATCTCTTTTCCCAATGGGATGGGGGAAAAGAGGCTTAATTTGACCAAAAGTGGCTCCAACAGAAGTGTTTCAATTTGACCAATCCTTATTGTTATTATCAGATCCAAAAGGACAGGATTTTCCATCAGCATTTTAAAGACATGCTGTCCTACAACTTCTTCAAGAGGATCACTGATTTGTTCCTGAAGGATATCTCAGGAGAGTCAACAAGTGAGCCAGGAGACCAAGTACGATGCACAAAAGTTGCCTTTACAATGGAAATTGCCACCAGACTTACCGCTGTGGACAATCATCCTATGAACCTGGTCTTGGGCTTTGGATTAAAGTACCTCAGAGAACACTTCAAGCCGTGGGTCCAGGACCAGGGTGGCTGGGTATGCGTTTTGCCTCACTTGACTTATGCATAGCCTAAGACACCCTGAAGCAGCACACTTTCACAGGACTAACACGGGTCAGATGCAACCCAAACCAAACCACGTATTCTTTAACACAGCGTGTACTCCAGCTGTGGAATTACTTGCTACAAGACATCTTCTATGCCGCAAGTTTTTTATTTACGTAGGTCCAAAATTCGATAGAAGACATTCATGGAAGGTTGTAGAGTATGAAACACCACCATTCCTGGCACAGACAGTCTCTCCACCACAAATAGCTGAAGGCTGGGAGAAACACTGGGAAACTTCATGCTTACCCTGATCCTATACTTGTCCCTAGAAGCATGCTGTTGGCAGGTTCTAAGGACAGCACAGTAGTTCATCCATTCATACAGTGTGCCGTTATGGTGTGGTATGCTTCCACTTCCCCTGTTTGCAAAGGAATACGTTTATCTTCATGTCTCTCTCTTGAAGTCAGTTGTGCAAGGTGCTCTTTTGCCAGCAGTGGTGCCGAGCTGCTGCCCTTCGTAGCTCATTGGTCTAGATTTGCTGTGGGGCACTTACAGTAGAGATCCTAGTCCTTTTGTGCTTCCTGAATTGAAGAGAAACATTCAGCAGATGTACGGCCTATGTATTGGAACAGATAGCACGTGAGGTCAGGAAATCCTCCTGGCAAACCTACTAACTGACCTCAGCAGAGTTGAAATTAGGATGAGGGCCCTCATTGCTTTTGTAATTGTAAGTTTTCTTTCTGTATTGCAGGAGAAGGCTTTGGCTTCACTGGACCATGAAGAAGTAGAGTAATCATGACTGAATTCATTCTTCAGGGTGCAGGAGCCTTCAATTAAGGAACACGCAGGATCTTATCACAGTCTGATACCAGAATGATTAGTGGCTATGTATTTTTATTTTTTTCCGTGGAAGGTTGGAGTGTTGCATGGCTAACTCTGATGGGTACAATTGCGCTTTCTTAAAGTCGGTATTGATATAGAAGTGTTCTTCAGTGGATATGAAGGCACCTCTAACTCCTCTGGAGCATTCAGCTCCAGAGATAGTGATTTTAGGTACCTTTCTGAGTACAGATGCTTGCCATTGCTCCTAATGATTGACGTTAAAGTGCAAACTGGGGGAAAATATCAAAGTGTGCAGTCAAGAACCATTGGACTGTGATCAACTATCAACCAAGTGAGACAAGTGCTGCCACCTTTATGTGGTACCTAGTGGTACCATCTGTTATCAATCCCACAGTCTTGTTAGAAGTCATACATAAACACTGCTATTAGTTTCCTCTCTCTCCTCCTCTCTTTCTCTGATTAGGTTCTCCAAAGTACTGATGCCATTTTATACTTCTGAAAGGGACTGAGTAAGGTTAATGTGGGCTTATTACTCAAGTGCCTTCCCCATTCCCCCAAGAAAATAGGCTTGATCTACCTACAGATGCTTTTAATTTGAACTCTTCTCTTTTAACCCCCTTCAAAGCATAGCACAATAGATGTTGACTTTTACAGCATTATTTTTTTCATGAATGTGGAAGATAAAAACATTGTGAGATCTTTGAGGTGCAAGAAATTTAAAATTTATCCTACTGTGCCAGTTTTTGTCCTTACTCAAAAGGAGCTCAATGCTATGTATAATCTCAGGGATTTCTCCGTAAACTGAACTGGCCCTTCAGCCATTGAAAACAAGTGATCTGATTAGAGCTCTTGAATCTGTATGTGTGGCAGTGGAAGGAATAACAGTGCACCATTTAGAGTAGGGGCAGATGCCCGTGAAACTATTCATGATTTTGAGGCTTGGTTTGTGGCCTCTTTAGTTGATGACTTTTGGATTTCCATCCCCTGCAAATCCCCAGTGGAGAAAGAGGGAACTTGGGACATCTCCTGAAGCTGTAAAACCATGGCATCACTTCTATGACTTTCCAGTACAAACAGGTATTATTTCCTGAACAGGCTCTCTGCCTCTCAGTGAGGCACCCTTCCATTACGAGTGCTCATTCTACGTGCACAAGTCCATTAACTACAAAGATTGCATGAAGTTATTATGAAGAAATCATGAATTTGAATGGAAGTGATAAAAAACTTTTTAACTGGATGTGTAAAATATGCAATGCTATCAAAGATCAAGCATTTTTCCTAATAAACCTGAAACTTTCAACTCATGCATAGCAAACTCTGCCTCTGTTTGGACACGTATATGTGAAACAAAAGACAGAGAAGGTGGAAGCGAGTACCTTCATTTCCTTTCTTCAAAGGAGTTGGGAAATACTTGCTATATCTCTAGACTCCAAATCTAAGATTCCCTTCATTTTAAGAACATCCACTCTTTCTGATCACATCAGATGTCCACAAAGGGGGATGATTTGCGGGGGAGAGGCAAGAGCTTACTCAAAAGTTCAAAACCTTATTGTTCTCCTGTCTCTTTCTCCAACACTTTTTTCCTATGGAAAAAAAAATGTGAGGGGTTTTACCCTCCCACACATTGGAGGCTGCTGCTCTATTATAAATTTGATTTGTTTCTGAAGCGGGCTTGTTAGCTGTATCTTGGCTCTGGAGTACTCTATCTGATTCCATTTTGATTACACTAAGACTAGACTTGGTCTGCTGGCATACACCAGTTTGCCGGTAGTTGGGCGCTGGCTTATGGAAGTCACTTTTTACATTTTCTCTGCTTGAATAACAGTCTGCTATTTAGCAAGGTGCAAATTCTGTGTTTGAGAGTGTGGTTTTCCAGCCAAAGGTTTAGCAGCCCTAAACCCACACTTGTTTCTCGTCGCCAGTTTGGTGCCTCAGGGCCGGTTTCATGCCGAGAGCGGAGCCAACAGCAAAATAGACTGTCTTGAATGGGAATGTGAAAACTAGCCACCTAAGAAAAGATATTCAGCTGGTTTTTATTTTTCTCTGGGTTGTTAAGAAGGATTTTTTTCAGTAGCAGTAGAGGCCAGCAGAGGAAATCAGCCAAGTGAGCTGTTTCATATTTAGTCATTCTTACATTTGTCATAGGCATCAGTTAGTTAGATTTTTAAGAGCAATCTACTCCTTTTATGGCAGGGATCTGTGGTAACCTCCTTGCTGGAACAGTGGCTTTGGTTTATTCTCAGAGCAATCAGCAAGGCTGAGCACGCTGTTGCCACCGCTGCTGCCTGGCATGAATTAACAAAGCTCTACTACCAGCTCAACCAGTCTTTGTCTTGCTGTCTTTCTTTCATCTGTGATGAATAAACTAGCAGCAGACAAATGCATATGTTTTGGGTGTGTATGAAAGGAGAAGGATGTTGTGAGGGAGGGTAACTGGCCATGCCTTCATTTTACCTTAACTTCTCACGGGATATCTTTGTCTGTGTTTAGCTGTAGGACCCTCTGGAGCCAATTTGGGGTGTTACTGTAAAAGATAGAGAAGTTTACTGTTAAAACAAGAAGTGTCACTTGGGATTTTTCTTACTGTGTTTCTACCCAGGTCAGCATCACGCAATTTTGTTATATCAGCAAGTTTAATTTTAAAATGAGCTGATTTCACTGTGTGTTAAGGTTGCAACAACGGAGTTTAGCCCTGTGCAAGTAATGCAATTTGTAAAGGACGCTGGAAGTGTCCTGCAGCTGCCTTCTGCACCATGTTATAGGGAGCCAGGTCGCTGGGCCAGCCTGTGTTAGTGCCCAGGAGCTGCCATCTCAGCCTAAAGCCTCTGAGAGCCGAGGCTTGAAGCAGCAGGTGGGACTTGCCCTGGCTGCTGTTCCCTGGAGCAGTTAAACATCAGATAAGGACATCCCACTGTCCATGTGCACACGTGTTGCACAAAGGAGATCTGCCCTGGCTCACGGCTGCAGTGTCTCTTGCTCCAGTGAGTAGGCAGGAGGCAGAAATAGCAGAAAACAGTCCGGAGCCTTCACCCAAAACCAAACATCTTACCTGTCTGCTACTTCCCTTTGCTTCAGCTCTCAGAGGGCTAGATTTCTTTCGGCTCTCAGGAAATGCTGGCAGATCCAGTATTTCTCAAAAACAGGCTGAAGAGGCATATGGAGGCATCCTTGGATCTTATCACACATTGCATGGTCTCCCTCTTTTTAAGCTGCTTCTCCTTTCACTCCTTCCCACAGGTGAGTACCGTGCTACCACTACCAATACGTACATTTGAGTAGACAGAAGAGCAGCAGGTGGGCAGAAAGTGAATTGCAGCAAACCACCAAGGGGAATAGCTCAGTAGACACCGTAGTCTGAAAAGTGGATTTACTGCCTATGACTTGTCTGCTGTAGAGGCTCACAATCTGGAACAAGTTCAGGGTTAAAAGTTCACAGCTGAGGCGTTGTAGTGTGAGTGAAGGGTGAGAACCAGGCAGAAAACATTAAAGCTGATTGCCTTGCTTGTTTGTTATCTGTGTCTGTGATGCTCTTGCCAGGGATGGTGTAAATCCCACAAGCGAGACAGAAATTCTAGCTCTGTTGCATGATACCTAGCACAGCAGGTTGCGGGGTGGGGTTAGGAGATATTCTGGGATTGGAGCTACTGTGATACATCCCAGTCAACCCACAGAGAAGGTTTCTCCCATGTCCCATGACTTGCTCCACTGCATACCTGCTGCAGCCAAAGCAGAAAGCTTTTCGCTGTGCAGATGCAGAGATGATGCGTTTTCCTGCCTGGGGCTGTAGAAATGATGGGTTGCAAAAAGATTTCTTGTTGGAGTCAGCATCTTTGCTGACTGATGTGATCTCTGTGCTGACTTTCATGATAGCCTTCCCCTCGTCTTTCTACCCCAGAATCACTTTTGGCAGATCAATGCCAAACATGGCTCTTTTCCCTTCTCTAAGAGGAAGCTCAGATGCTTCCCAGCCACAGCTAGCATCCTAAAAGGGAAACCAACTGAGTTCATTACTGGATGCTAGAGGGAGATGGGACTTAAGTTTTTAGAAGTTAAACAGCCAAAGTGGAACTTTCTGTCTGCCGCTGCAGTGGTTCTGCTTTAAATATTCATTACACATAGCACTGCAATGGAAAATTTGGGTTATGCTTATGTTATCTTCCCTAGAGATCTGAACCTGGGTTTTCTAGCACACCAGCTTGCTGTTCTAACCCCTGTTGTTGTGGATAATACTACCACTTGGATAATACCACCAGTATTATCCTCTCTGCTCTGCCCCATCCTGAAATGATGTATCCAGGGAAGCATCTACTAGATTGGTCATGTTTGCTGAACAGGCAAGAGGACAGACTGTACCAAGCAGCTCATCACCGCTCAGACTGAGGGCTCTGCTCGTGTCTGGTGGCAGAAACACAGGCAAGTATGGGACTGTTTTTGTTATGCAAGGCCTGAAGGAAGTCTTTGGTGATGTCAGTGGTGCCTATATGTTGAAAGTCAGTGCCTGTAGAGAAATTAACATCTTTTGGTGGTTCAAGGCTTTGGGGCCAGTCAGAGACAGGGGTATGAGCCATACCGGGATACAGGACAACTACACACACGCTCTGTGTTTAAAGTAGCTGAACGTGCCTGGCTTCAGCTGGCTTGTTCGTTTTGTTTTGTTTTGTTTTTTTCTTTCATTGAACTTGCGTGCCTCTGCATCTTGGGAAAGGTGCCTTCCTGTGAGCCCCTGGGTTACAAAGACTTTCTGTGGGGCAGAGGATAAGGGGATTGCTTCAGGCATTATCATTGTGTGAAGCATCAGAGAAAAGGTGAGGATGACCTTGTGACTGACCTTCTCTGGCAAAGCTCTGGAAGGCTCTTAATAGCAGCCAAGTCTTGTGCTTTGCCTTGCCAGCCCCAACATCAAAAAGCCCTGAGTGAGCACCTCAACATCTCCCAGAAAACCCTTGAAAG